TAACTAGACCATAGCAAAGATACTATGGTCCACAGGTGAAATTTTTCTTCCAGGTTGTACAAGTAGTTAGCAATAGAGTTAAGACTAGAATTTGATTTGCAAAAAAAAACCCAAAAAAAACACAACATAGTACTGTGGTTAAACAAAGCAAAGCCTTTGAAGTCAGAGAAGTTACTAGTTCTTACAGGTCCTCCTGTGTAACCTGGAGAAATTTAGGTAATTTCCTGACCTCAGTTTCCACCTGCATATTAGGAATAATAATCATCACCTTGAGTCGGGGTGGGGATTAAATGAATTAAGTTAAATGTCTGCCCCACCAGAGGTCAATCAGTGCTGACTTTCCTCGTCCATCTGCTGCCGGATGCTGCTCATCACACACAAGACCGTAGGAACCCGACACCCTCCAGCTGTCCTCGATAGACCCCGCCCCCCCCAGGGTTTATCACAATGCAATTCCGTAAGACATTAGATGCACTGGTAGTCAAAATACAACCTCATTTTGCAGCGACATCATTTTCCATTTTTTCTCATCACACAAGTATAATTTTTTAGCTTTTCTGGGCTCCTCAGGCTTTTTAGCCCTAACTGGAGTGCTGCTCTCCTCTGCATCCGCGCTGCCGGCATGGAAGCTGGTGTAGCCAGTCCAAACTGAAACGTGCTGTAGGTATAAAACGGGCAACAGGTTTGGAATACTTAGTCCCTGGCCCTCCCCAAAATGTGAAATTATCTCATTATACAAATATTTACACTGAAAACATGTTGAAATACTATTTGGATGTACCAGGTTAAATAAAATATATTAAAATGAATCTCAGCCCTGGCTGGCGTAGCTCAGTGGATTGAGCACCGGCTGTGAACCAAAGGGTTGCAGGTTCGATTCCCAGTCAGGGTAGATGCCTAGGTTGCAAGGACATGACCCCCAGCAACCGCACATTGATGTGTGTGTGTGTCTCTCTCTCCCCCCCTTTCCCTCCCTACCCTCTCTAAAAATAAATAAATAAATAAAATCTATAAAAAAATGAATCTCACTTGTTTTTCACTTTTTTAAGACTGTGGCTATGAGAAAATTTTAAATTACATTGTGGTTTGCACTGTATTCTACCAGCCAGCACGGATCTCTAACATCGACCTTTAAGACATCAGACAACCGAACTCTCAAATGAACACACGACACAAAACCGTCTTGCTTACAATACACACCCTGGAAGCTACAAAGAAAAGAAAACAGAGTGAGGCTTAAGTTAAAATAACACAAAAACACACCAATAAGCAAATAAAAATAGCTAGAAAAAGGAAACTAAGATTACAAAAAGAAAAAATACAAAACCTCATGCATAAGAATTCTCGAAATAAAGAGTTATAGCAATTTAAGAAATAAATAATTATAAAAGCTAATTGTAAAGTGAATCAAAACTCAGATAAGAACTCTATAAATCAAAGAGGGCTGGGGTGGGAATCCATTAAGGGACGTGGAGAAAAAAATATTTACTAACACAAAATGTTCAATGTACAGAAATTCTGTACCTTTGCTTTTCAAAATAGATCATCAGATTGAGGGAAATCATGGTTTATAAACTCGTATGTGTATGTATTCTAAACTTGGCCTTCAAAATTTAAAATGATAAGTTTTTGAAAAGAGAAACAAAATCAAATTAAACTAAATAACAAGGCATACTTATAGTACTAGGAAAGAAATACTGAAGAGTGTGTCTTATTTCATAAACTTGTAATTGACTGAAGAAAAAAGAAAGTCTCAGACATTCTATGCATAAGAATGATTAATGTAGTGATTCTCACAGCGTGGCCCAGGGGCAACTAAGGTCCTAAATCCCCTAAAAGGACTTTGCAAGGTCAAAACCATTTTCATAATAATTTTAAAAGTTATTTGTCTTTTTCACTTATTCTGTTTTCCAGCGGCTATATGCGTAATACCCTAACAGGCTGAATGCAGAAGCGGTAAGAAGCCCACTGTCTTTTATTAAGCCAGACATTAAAGAGAGTTGCAAGAATGTAAAACAATGCCTCTCTTCTCACCAAGTTTTTTGGTTTTTTGGAGAATAGTTATTTTTCATAAGAAATGTTATTCAGATTAACAAGTAGGTTTTTAAAAAATGAATTACAAATAAGTTTTTTTAATTTCCTCATTTAAATTTCTATTAAGGTAAATATAGACAGGTACAGCGCACATGCGCAAAAGCTCTTTGGGATCCCAATAACTTTTAAGACGATAGCAAGGTCCTGAGGTCGAAAGGTGTGAGCACCACTGACGGTTACAATAAGGCATAAACGGGATCAATGACCACACACACACACACACAGCCAAACCACCTCTGCCCTGGAAGGCTATTACTGCTATTTATAGCACAAAAATTTCTAACAGTTCAAACTCTCTAGTGACCAGCAAAGAAAAAGTCTGGTGGGGGTAAATTGGACAGGAAATTAAAGGCAAGGAAATTAAATGTGTTCTATGCTATTAGAAGGTTGCATTCTGACATGAAGGTAAATTCTAGACAATGAAATAGAACATTTCATAATTAACTAACCTCATGTTTATGCCATAAGCAATAATTCAATGCTGTCACAGATCCCCCCTGAGATGCTTGGAAATTCATACAAAACCTTAAGTTATTCAGTATCAAAGGAAGATTCTCAGAGGTTGATATACTAATCTTCGATGAAGCATTTAAATTATTTCATATTAATTTCATCCTCAAACTGTTAGCCTGCCCAAGGTGATGCCTATGCAGAAAATGCCATACTTGCACACTAAAAAGAAAATGCAAGGCTTACTACAGATAAAAATAGAATTTCTGAACCATAACATTTCTTACAATTTCTGTAACCTATAAAGTAAAAATTTTAAATTTAGCAGTCTCAAAGAGGCTAACCTCTCCATCTAAAAGGAAAGAAAAATTTGAAAACAGACTAGCTTTCTTGGCTCTGATAGCAGTCATTTTACCCTCAGCTATACTTACTCAACTTGAGAAGTATGTTTGATATGGGAGGAAAGGCTGTGTAAGTTAACTTTCATTTGTTTAATACTGAAAATTCTTCCTTGTCCATCAAGATGTTTTTGTAATGCAGAACCAAATTGTAAATGACCATTTCGCTAAGCTTTTAGGAAGGCTCTGGGGTTACAGTTCTTCCCATGGCAAATAATACAATAATTAATAAATAGTAAAACAAGAATAAACTGTTTTGCGTACTCACAACTGTAAACCTACTTTTCCCCATCTGTGTGTATGTGTGTAGTGAAGGGTATATGGAGTTTGTTGCATTATTCTTTCAATTTTTTAGTAAGTTTCAATTTATTCAAAATAAAAAGGGGGGAATGTAACTTGTAGGTGCTAGGATTAATGTGTTTCAGCGACATTAGGATTTGTGGGAATTAGTGATTCTCTCAGTTTTTTATTCTCTCAGCCAAGGACTTTGTGGGCTACACCTGAAAGGCTGTTGTCAGCTCTTTGGGACAAAACTTGTGAACCACTGTGGTGAACCTTGACCTCGGGGGCACCATACACTCCCTGGGTGCTGGCTTGTGCCACCCAAGGGAGCTATGTGCCTTTACCTTTAGCCTGCTTTCAAGTCTGTCAGTTTGGTAGACTTATCTCAGCTGAATCTTGTATCTGCTAACTGGACTAATACACTTTCAATATGAGTACACCTTTGGTTCAATTATTCTACTTCTGGGAACCTAGCCAAAGGAAGTAATAGTGGGCTGATTCTAGTAGCCAGTCAGCAGAAACAATGTCAATGGCCAAAAATAGACTGACTTCAGAATTTTATGCAGTCACTGAAAACAGTGCTATAGCAATGTGCAGACTAACATAGTCACACTGTATGGTGAAAAAACTAGGTTATAAAGTTACATGAGCAGGTGATGTGCTAAAAATTACAATTATATCCATATTTGGAAAAATGTCCAATAAATGCTTAACTTTGGCTGTCTCTGGGTAGATGAAACTTTGAGTTTTTGTTTTTTGCTTATTTGATTTTTAACTCTTCTGTAATAAACATGTATTACTTAAGCAATTAAAAAAGAAACTTGATTAAAAGATAAGATAGCACATTTAATCAATGCAACAGTGGGAGTGCCTCATAGTAAATTATGATTTAAATATGGGGGTTGCATAATATCTAAACATTTGTCTTTTTATATAACTACTTAAAAGATGCAGCCAACATTGTGGTCAAGACTTCAGGTTCTGGTCTTGGGATTCTGGGGTTACATCTTGGCTCTCTCACTCAGCTGAGTGGCTGGAGAGCCTGGCTGGCTAGCCTCTAAATCTTCATCTTCATCTGTGTAACAGAGATGGTAGCAATACCAACCTTACAGCTTTGTTGAAGGTTAAATAATACATGGAAACTCTTGACACAGTTCCTAGCAGTACTAAGGGCTTAATGTTAGCTGTTATTACTCTATGGAACTGGAAGCTTTCTTTGGTCAGCAAATGTCTTCTGTTTAAACTAACAGTAGGGGTCCCTGCCTAAGCCTAAAGGACTCCATACAGCAGCCTGAGAGCTCTGCAGCTTCCCTAGCCTTTTTAAAAAAAATAATTCTCACCCAAGGGTCCATGTTCATTGAATTTATAAAGAGAGCAGGGAGAAAGAGGAAAGAGGGAGGGAGAGGAAAGGAGAAATATCGATTAGTTGCCTTCCATACATGGAAGTTTGGAATGGAACCCGAAACCTAGGTATGTGCCCTGACTAGGGATTAAACCTGCAATGGGATGAGGCACCAACCACGTAAGTGAGCAACCCCGCCAGGGCTTCACTAGCCTTTTTTTTAGAGGGGGAAGCAGGTGAAAGCAAAAGTAGCACTCCCAGGCCACTCAACTCCCTTAAAACCTCTTTATTTCTGGTCAGGAGGCAGAAATGCTGATTAACTCTGTTAATAAAGCACAGTGCTCACCAGATCAAAGGTCAGTGACCAAGGTCTGATGCCTCTTAATAAGGAAATATGCCTCCCAGCCACTATCAGGGGGGAAAAAAAAGCACACTTTTAAGCCACACAAAATACAACGTATTTATTTGGAAACAACAGTTTCAAAATGATCTCTTAAATTCAGAATCTATGAGCCAGGGTATAAACAAGTGAGATCATCATTCATTGTTAAGTTATTAAAGAAAATTTTAAATTAACTGATTATGTGAAGTGATGATTTTCTACACTTCATAAGAATCTCTTGGAGTGCTGGAGATTAATTCTGCTAATAATACAGTGCCCTGGTATGGACCAGTAATTTGGAAATATCTTTTTACAAAGATTTCCAGATGATTACCGTGACCAAGGAAATATGGGACACACTGATTTGAAGCACGCTTTTCAACGTCCTTTGCATGTTTCAATTCTTGAACTACTAATCTCAGAATGACTCACTGAAAAATCTTAACCAGTTCAATTTTAGGAAACAAAAGTCTTTTAAACATTTGGTTTGATAAATTCTCTTCATTGCAGACATCATGAAAACTTTATTCTGTTGGTTTCCTAGAAGACAGGGACTTTTCTCCTTTTCATTTCTGACCCAGCTCTTCTAGGTTATGTTTTTCTTGGAGTTTCCGTCTTTCCTGAGTTAAGGCATAGCAATCCAACCAAATCATCTTTAAAAATTGGTTTCTTATTAAAGGGTTGTCACTTTTAATCACCTTGGCTTGCTTCTGTCCAGCTCCCTTCTCTTCTGAAAACTAAGATGTTACGGTGTTTTGTCTAGAATCAATATTCTGGCCTTTCCACCTTAAATTTCATACTGACAACCCCGTGTATGCCAGCTTGGATCTCATCGTTTACTTTCACAGGGCCAACTCCCTTTGGCGTCCCGGTCAGGATAATATCTCCTTCTTCCAAGGCTATTATCCTAGAAACGTAGCTGATGATGTAGGGAATGGTAAAGATCATGGCGGATGTCTCACCCTCCTGCCGGAGTTCGCCATTGACCTTGAGCCAGAGCTTCAGATTGTGAGGGTCTGGGACCTTCTCTTTGGGTATGAACGCGCTGACAGGGCAGGAGGTTGTGAAGCTCTTGGCCAGAGTCCAAGGCAGCCCCTTCTTCTTGCACTGGTCCTGCACGTCCCTTGCGGTCATGTCCAGGCACAGGGCATAACCGGCCACGTAGTCCATGGCCCCGGCCTCCGGGACCCCGCAGCAGCGCTTGCCCATCACCACGCCCAGCTCGAGCTCGTGGTGCAGGTTCCGGGTGTAGGCTGGCATGAGAATGGGGGAGCCCTCGGGGGCATAGGCGGTAGACGGTTTCAGGAAGATCACCGGCTCGCTGAGCACCGCGCTCTGCATCTCCTTGACGTGGTCCGCGTAGTTCCTGCCCACACACACGATGTTCTTCCCCCACTCCCAGAAGCGAGACAGATGCCTGGAAGCCGCCATGGCTCTAGCTTACGGCCCCTAGAGTCACGTGGAATCAGTCCGGGCTGATCCCCTGATGCCTACGGCTACCCGGAGAGGACGAACTATCTCAGAGCTCAATCCGGACTGCGACCGCCCATTCTGCTTGTGCTCCCCACGGTGTGCCAGAGTCGCAGCGCACGGCCTCCTGGGAGCCGCCGTCGGGTGGCTGCCGCTAGGACGCCGGGCGCTAGGACGCCGGGCGCTAGGACGCCGGGCGCTAGGACGCCGGGCGCTAGGACGCCGGGCGCTAGGACGCCGGGCGCTAGGACCCCCGCCAGGTCCCCGGAAAGAGGCGGAGGCTCTAGTGTTGTTCTCCGGCTGCAGCCAATTCCTTGCTTCAAGCCTGCGTGGGGGGGAAAAGGGCACCGGTTTGGGCGCGAGCGCTGATTGGTCGGGAGGTGGGCGGGGAGGCTGGCGTATGCCGCTCGCCCGCGTCTGGCGGAACCGCCCGTCCGCCTTCCCTGTCATGGTGCTGGGCCCACTTCTAAGCTCTCGGAGTCTCACCGCTCTAGCGGCCGCCTGCGCCCGCCGCGGCCTGGGTAAGATTGCCGAGGGCGGCCGGCGCTGGGATAGAGCTAACAGCGGCAGGGCCCCGGAGCGGGGTGCTGGCTGGGTGCCTGGGTCCTGTCGAATGTCGTAGCCGGGTGAGGGCAGTTAGGCCAGCCGCGCTCCCTGAGACGTTCCAGAAGCGCCCCGCAACCGGGCGTTGGGCGCGGACGCAGCCCGCCGGCCCGCTCGGGTGTGTCTGCAGGGAGTCACCGGGCCGCGGTGACTGACGCTGCTTTTTGTCGATGTAGGATTTTCAACCCTGGGTGACGGCGGCGGGCGTGCGGGTAGTGGTGGAGGAAGGCTGCACAACAGTTGGGTGGGATTGTGAGAAGGCTGAGTGCGGAGTACCTGGTCAGCTGGGTTTGCTGAAGGGTTTGTGCTGGGTGAGCAGACGGCTCTCCGGCGCTCCGACCGGCCTCCCTGCGGCCAGCATCGCAGTGGTGCGGGGGTTTCCCACATACCACCCCCCGCCCCGCCGAAACTCAGTACTTCCAGTGCCCTGGGGTGATGTGATTGCTTAGAGCCCGAAGAATACTGTGTATATTCTCCACAAATTAAATCACATCTTTTCATCTCGAGCTTTGGCTGACAAGAAGAACCTGGGGCACGGATTCTAAAGTGATGTTACAGGGGAGAATCCTGGAGCAATGCTTGGATTCCAACAAGACTGGGTCCTGTGATCTGTGGGGCCCTGGCCTTCCCTGGCTGTCATTTCATCAGTGCCTCTGAAATGAGAGGCGTTAGGCACACTGATCTCCAAGGCCTGTCTCTTTCCGCTGTCAGATTAGAGTCTAACCTCTTTCTTTTTTGGAATATTTTGGCCTTTATTTTGAAATCTTCTTTTTATTTCCTTATATTTTATCTGACTGATGTAGCAATGGGAGCAGTAGGTTAACCCCAACCTCTAGGACCTGGTTAACAGCTAAATGGCGGGAGGGCACTAGGTAGGCAGTTTGGACAAGCTGTGAAGCCACCCTTGACCATTTTCAAATCCCACTGAAAGCAGTCAATTTCTGGAGTGGGTAAAGTGTCACCATTACTAAGGAAAGAGCCTATTTTTTTCCGTTTAGGGAAACTCATCAAAGTGTCAGAGCTAAGAGTTTTTGTGTCAGAAATCGGACAGACAGTGTAAGTGGGACTGTAGGGAATTGCCAGGAGTGCCACTGTCTCAAATGGCCGATGCCATGCAGAAGAACCCACCCCATTCAGAAGAAGCCAAACAAGAAGCCTCCCTGGACTCAGTACTTGGCCCAGACCATATGCTGTAGGTCTGAGCCCTCTGTTTACACAAAAGATCACATTTGCAAACCAGTAAGTTAGGAGCATTTCTCAGCCTGCGGTAGGCTAGGTGATACAATTTTTGGAAAAGGAATAAGGTTTCTGGTGGTGACTGCACCAGTTGAATTCTTTCCGTAGAGATAGCAGCATCTTCTCCAGGTTGCCAGGAACCAATTGTAAATAGCTTCCTTCACTTAGGCAGTATAGATAATGTTCTATGGGAAATAGGTAGACAGGGCCCCCTTTTGAGGGGGATTCTTCTGGACATGGAGTTTTGTTTTTATCCTTCTGCTCTCCTCCCACCCCCATCCCTAATACACATACTGCTCTGTATAGTAGAGCTCCCAGGCTCCTATAGCACTGGGGATCAGGGAAGGTTGAACATCAGAGACTTAACCTTACAAAAATGTTTCTTCTGCTGTGCGTGAGGAGAAGGGCCTGGAAAATGCCCAGCTGGTTGTCAAAGGAAAGGATATCTGTGTGTGATCATTAAAGCTGCCGTCCAGGCATTTTCCCTGGCCATGGTATATACAGTTGAATCTACTTTTATTTTATTTGTTTTAAACAATCTCTTTAATTTTTTAAAGATTTTATTTATTTTTAGAGAGAGGAAGGGAGGGAGAAAGAGAGGGAGAGAAACATCAATGTGTGGTGGCCTCTCCCACACCCCCTACTGGGGACCTGGCCTGCAACCTAGGCATGTGCCCTGAGTGGGAATCGAACCAGTGACCCTCTGGTTCGCAGGCCAGCAATCAATCCACTGAGCTGCACCACCCAGGGCTGAATCTGCTTTTAGACGGCCCCTGAAGACATGGCCTGTCTGTCTTTCAGTCAGTTGGTGCTCCCTGCTTTCTGGATCCTGTTAGGGAGAGGTCCCCATCCCAGCACCTACCCCAGAATTTCATGGATGCCTTCTGTCACCTTTTGTTGTGCAGTTTTAATCCCTTTCATGCTAAGACTTAAAGTATTATTGGGGCCTCTGTGAATTTTTAGATTGAATATTAGTTTTATTGTTGAAAAGACTCTGGCACCTGTCTGCTGGCTAGAAGATGCTTTTGCCCTTCAGTCACTCCCAGCCATCCTGGCAGAGTCCTTTGGCTCAGTTGGATGGTGATTCTGTATCCTGTACGCCCAAATCTAGAATATTTGTGGCCAACTCTCCATTCCTCAGGCCCTGGTGGTTTTTGTGCATGTTCCAAGTTTCTAGTTCCTGCCATATTGTTTTCTTTTCTGGCTTGAGGCCTAAGAAGGGCTGTGAGTGACTCCAGGTGCCTGGGCTGTGTTAGCTGGAGAGGCAGCGATGTGCTGTGGTTAAGAAATAGCCCAGCTTGGCACTTTCATTTGTGTTTCTTCTTTTCATGGTCTCCTCTGAGTCAGGTGTGAGCAACCAAAACTGACAATAGTCATGTATGCTGACTGTTTGAATTACAGCCAGAGGCTGGTCTTTCTATTCCTTTAGAACTCTTGAACAAGAAAATAAGTATTATAAATCCAAAAGAGCTGATTTCCTTGAATACAAATATGAATCATTTTCTCGATTTTTTTCTTACTGATGTGGTTAAATGAGAATATCCTCTTCTCTATCAAAGAAATGTAAAAAACCCTGCATGGCGAGCCCCGTGCTCAGATGTTTGCCCCATGTCAGTCTTAGATGTCACATCCCCAGGATGTCCCTACTGCTGGGTCGTTGAGGACTTATTTTGAGTCTATGACTGATGTGGTCTCGTGTGGACACTGACCAAAACTGCATTCCATCTTCAGGTCCAGCCTTGCTGGGAATCCTCTATCACACGGATTTGAGGAAGAACTTGACTGTGGAACAGAGCGCCATGAAGGTTGAGGTTCTGCCAGCCCTGACCGACAACTACATGTACCTGATCATCGATGACGACACCAAGGAGGCCGCCATTGTGGACCCAGTACAGCCTCAGAAGGTGGGAGGTGTGTCCCCAGCACCAGTTCTTTTTCCCTGATGGGTTTGATACCTGCAGTATTCTTGCAACTTGGCTGAAGCTAACTATTAATTCATCCATTAATTTTTAACAAACAATTTAGTGCCCAGCCACTGCTATTGGGGCAAAGGGCCCATGAAAGGGGTGGGGGTAACCAGAGGCTTTGGCATCGAAAGAAAGGAGAGGGCTTGTCTGCAAAGTCCCTGGGCAGAGAAGCAGGTGCTGTCCTTGCACTGTCCACCCTTCCTTCAGGCTTTGGGCCAGAGGGGCGTGGAGAGGTCATGGGGGGTACTAAGCTGCCAAATGGATTAAAAGAGATAAAGGCCACCATCACCAATCTCTACTGAAGTTAGGTTGAGCGGCAGGGTCAGGTCAGGACCTGGCCATTCCTGGCACACCCTGGGTTCCGCCGGGCACCCCCACCTTGCAGGCTTCTGAGCCAGCACTGGGAGTGTGATGGTGGCCTCTGTCCTGCCTCACATTTGGTTGCAGGTTGTAGAAATGGTGAAAAAGCACGGTGTGAAGCTGACTACACTGCTCACCACCCACCACCATTGGTAAGCGCTCTCTCCCAGAAGCTGAGCTCCCTGCAGGGCAGCAGAGCTGATTGGGCCTGATGGCTCTGTGCCAGGCACACCCTGAGGGTGGGGTCGGGCGGGGTTCTCACAGGCTGTCTGTGCCCACCCTGCAGCTGGCAGCTGGGTCACTTGTGCCCCACAACTGTGACCACTGTGCAACTGAGGGTCTGCCTCCAGTGGCAGTCTGAAAGGCTTCAGGTGTCAGCCTCCATGCTGCTGCCTCATTCCCTTGGTCTTCTGGCCCAAGCCCCTTGGCCCTTTGATGGAGTCTGGTGACTTAGGGGCTTCAGAGGGGATGCTGTGCTAGGGGCCTGCAAGGACCCCAGCAGTGTCTTTGAAAGCCCTTGTGCTTGTGTGATGGGATGCTGGCCTCAATGTTAGGGAAGAAACTAGACTAGACATTAATGTTTTTAAAACTCAGCAGCCATATTTGGAGAGGTTGTGGGGTTTTTTTTGCTTGTTTTGTCTTTAATATTAATTAATAAAAAGGCTAAATGGTGAAAAAGCACTCAGACTAGAGTTGTCTGTCCAAGGTCTTTCTTTTGGATTTTTTGAAACTTTTGAGGCTGTTCAAAGCTAAAAAAAAAATAATGTTTATTTGGCTCTGAACTTTCTTTTCCAAATCCGTGCTTGAGGGCAGCTGATACCTTCACA